CATATATCTGATGATGAATGGAATTTATATAAGAAGAAGGTAACCCCCATTGGATAAGTTCAGTCCACGAAAAGTTCCAGTTATACTGAAGTTCCCAGTTGTTGCTTTTATCAGCACTCTCGGGGACAAACAACTGCTGGTGGATCTCTACACCACGACTGAAAAATTACAGTTACTCAAACACAAGTCGAAAATCCAGCCCTTCTAGAGTTTTCTTGGAGGAATACAAGCCGTCTGCTTGCATCGAAGAAACACGTTCGTTCCCTTCCACGGCTAATTTCCACAGAATTTCGTGTTTTAACCGGTATAACTTTATCTTCATCTAAGTAAGTAGCCAAACGTTTGTACCTTTCATCTTCTCCTTTGAAAGACTGTTGTTGAATCATCTTTACAAATTTCAATACTGCTTTTTGAAATTCGAAAGAAGGGCGTTCTGCCGTTCTTTCTTCCTTTCTGCAGAGACAATTATTTCTAAATCTTATACTCCAACCCATTCAATGAATCATATGTGAGTACTTAAAAAAGTGCGAATATATCCTATTACATTGGATAACATTTTCAATAATAGCTAAAAGATTTTGTAGATTTTAACTCCTCCTTTTCCTGTCTCTTCTTCATTAATGTCTTCATTCAAGATGCTTCCACAGCTGCAAAAATGAGTAAGTTTCGTAAACCATTGTGGGTCCTCCCACCATCTGAGTCACAAAAAGTATTTGTTGTGGAGCCCTAGATAGAAAATCGGCAGGATTCATCATCTACGTGATTTTGTGCGAAAAGAGAAGTTAGTTTTCTTACCTCTTGTAGTCGATTTCTGAAAAACACTAACCATTTTTCATCTCTATCTATCCGTACGAATACAGTAATTGAATTGCTCCAGAAGCAACAATTTACAAGCTTCTAATATTCAATGCTTCAACTACCGAATTTGTCACCGAATTACTAAAAAACCTGGTATTGATAAAATTTACGATCTAAAATGTCTACTACATTATGCTATTATTGTGGAACGTTATAAAGTCAAGGAATGTTGTACAGCGTCATAACTGCCAACACTTCAATCATTCGTCTGAAGTCTGCACAATTAAATCTCGCTGTGTGAAATGCTGTGGACAACACAAAAGCGTTGACTGTGAGGCCAAAATGATCAATAACATCAAGTGCTGTACTGCCAAGGTCCTCATTAGGCTAATCACAGAGGATGTCCTAAAACTTCTCATAACTAACAGAATATAGTTAGTAAGAAACCTTCAAGCATTTCTGTTAAGCCAGACGGAAATATAGTACTTCTTCTGAATGAAACTTCTGCTTTAAGACCAAACGTGAACAGCACTAAAAATCACTCAGCCTAAGCTCTATCACTCAGAATTAAATATAAATCCTATACAAGCATTACAATTTAAATATGTTAATGAGATGAATGAAATTGCGATTTCATTTTTAAAAGTTCCTCATTCATATTGAGGTTCGAAATGAGATGTACCGATTCTAAGGAACGAGGCTAAATGCTCATCTGTCACTCTACTTCTGAAATAATTCTTTCTAAGGTTCATTGTTGAAAACACTTGTTCGCATATATAAGATGAAGCAAATATAGTACTGATTTTCTGGGCGTGAGATATTCAATTTGGGAAACTTACTTTCGATAATGATTTGCAAAACTCTAACTATGGTATATTTAGAAACAACTGCTTGAGATGACTGTTATATTGCAACTCAATTAATTCAAGCTGCAAATTTGACATCATGGCTTCACAGTTTACGTTGAAAGGCATAGTAAAAATATCCAGTTCTGTTTGAATAGCACTGAAATCTTGAAATCTGCGTTCGAACTCAAAATGCAGTTTTTTCAAGCCATCTCCATAATTATTAAGCTTCTTTTCATTTACTGAGGGTATTGAATTTAACCTCGGAAAATGAGACAAGTTGTTCTTAGCTAGCTGCCCAGCAAACAGATTAAAATTTTAGTTTAAAAGCTTTGAGATGGGCCCAGATATCATCGATAAATTGATTTTTCCCTTGCATCTTGACATTCAAGTTGCTCATATGACAAAGACGATCTGTGAAAAATGCGAAGTCCGAAAGCCATTCTGTATCTTCTAACATTTCGCACTCCGCAGAACATTGTTTCTCATGGAAGAATGACACAATGCCGTCTTTCAGCTGCCAGACTCGCTCGAAAACACATCCTGCACTAGGCCACCTTACTTTCCTGTAATACAGTACATCAGAGTATTCAGACTGGACAAGACTGAAGAAAATCGCGAAATCGCCTGTGAGTAAGCCCACGAGACCGAATAGTATTTACAAGCTTCACGACTGCATTAAGCATGGGTTTCATATTCAATGCAGATTTACACAGAGCATCTCGATGTATAACACAATGTAGAAAAACAACATTGTTCCCGGGATAGTTTTGATTAAAGAGTCCAAGAAATCCAGATTTTTTTTCCTGTCATATTTGGTGCTCCATCTGTCGTAATATTACACATATTTGTTATAGGCACTTTCAAAGTTAAAAGCCCTTCCTGAAATTCACGAAAAATATCACATCCCGTTGTAGTTCCCTTTAAAGAACGCATGCACGCCAGTTCCTCGATAATTTCAAAGTTCTCATCAACACCTCTTATAAATATACTAATTGAGCAGTATCATTTATATCAGTGCTTTCAACCATAGCTATGGAGCAAAATGTAAACTGGCCAATCTTTGACTCTAATTGTGATGTCAAATTTTTAGCGGTGTCTTCGATTCTAGAAGTCACCGTTTTTCGAGATATGCTTACAGTCTTAAAATTATTTTTTTTGTCTGGACATAAAACATCACAAACTTGAGCATGCATTGTTTAACAAACTCCCCATCACTGAGAGCTTTGTTTTTTTTTTTTTTTTTCCCCAGCAATATTGTATGCTACAATGTAACTTGCATATGTAGCTGCTTCTTGGATACTGTTTACGTTCTTGAAAAAATTTTGTCGGCCTGATAATTTTTCACAAAGACTTTCCGCATTTTTTTTTTTTTTTTTTTTTTTTTTTTTTTTTTTCATATTCGGGCATTGCTTCGTCATTGGAATTCTTATGCTTAGATATGAAATGATGAGAAACGTTATATTCTTTGAAGAATGCTACAGCTTCATTGCAGATGAGACAGACTGGTTTACCTTTTACAAATGTAAATAAAAATATTTCCAGGTCCATTCAGCATTAAAAGCACGGCATTCTGAATCAACTTTACGTATTTTAGTAGCCACTTGGGGATTGAAATATTTTAGGAATAACCCAAACAAGCACTAGCTACGCTATACTTTTAATAATTTCACCACTGTTCACAATGATGCTATGTGTCCGCAATTTTTCCATACGCAATCAATAATATTAGAACTCGCGCCAAAAGAAAACGCTGCTGGCTGGAGCTTAAAAATGCGCAATCTGCCACATGCCATGTCTAATTCACCTATATATTGGGATACCCATATGTCTTCTCCTCGAAAAAGCGATAACGATTCTTGGCGCCAATCTACAGGTATAACTAACAAAGAACTTCCGCTTTTAACACTTTACTGATTGAAAGCTGTCTGTGTTTACTATTTCCGTCCATTTATGTTTTGTAAAACAAAAATAGAAAAAGTAAAAAGATCATCAGTCCTTTGAAAGGAAGAAAAAAAAAATAATATTTAAACAAAGTAGAAAAGATATGTGTGTGTATGTGATTATGGCAAAGCCTCGAGGGCTATCTTCCTAAAGGTAGGGATGCCTTCGTGGACGACTTTCTAAGGGGAAACTGGCTCGTATACTCGTTACACATAGGAACCACAAAGTAGAAAAGGAGATGGATATATAATATTTAAATAATATATTTCTTTTAATTTGCCTCGGACCGGCATTTAAAATTTTATTTGCGGGCCAGATAGAGCCTTCCGGTGGGCCGGAGTTGGCCCATCTCTGGTCTAGAACAACTTTTGCTGTTTTAATATTAATTATGTGTATGGAAATACTTGTCGCAATATCAGTTTTAGGTCTAGAAGTGAAAATTATTTGTAACATAGAAGTGTTGTATTTTTTCCAAATTAGGTGAAAATACCAAAGTATAAAAATTAAATAATTGAGTTTTAATTATATTACAAATATGTAAGTTTAAAATTGTTAAAAATAGTTTGAAACATTTTGTATTTTTGCCGCCAGAAAAATCGTTGATCAATTCTGTTATTTGGATGTGGCGCCATCTAGTAGTAAGTTTCTAAAATGTAAAGTGAATAAATTTATTGTAGTTAATAAAACATAATAATTTACTAACTTTTTGTAAGCATTTAAAAATTACCTCGGATAATAAAATAATTTCATATTAATGTTATATGAAATTTAATAAGAAGTAAATTTAGAGATTTCAGTTCTAAAATGTAATTCGTTATTAGAAATCATTCAGCGAATTTTAGGAAAGTTTACTTCAGAAATAAATTTTGATTATTCCAGTTATACTTTCAGGAATTCAAATGCATTATATATTCAAGTTTTAAAATATGACGATACAAGAACAAAGTACGCCAACAATATATACATTTATATATCTCCTGTTACATATTTGCAAGTAGGTTATCTCTTTTGAAGTTATTTATAGATATAATTTTATTTCTAACTTTAAAATGCATATATACATACATATGAAATATGAAAAGAAAAATTTAACACATAAAATTTTATAATTTATTTTTTTATAACCAAAGCTGTGACAATTTCTCTTCCTCCTAGTAACATTTATCATATGAAAACAACCTTACAGGATAAGATTATCTATATATTAATTTTAAAAATCTTTCAGCATTGTATAAAAATAGATAACTCCAGTCACAAAAGAAGGTGCATAAAATTAATCACGGAGACTGAAAGATAAGAATTATAAAAGTTTCTCAATTTCTTCGGTTAGGGCAAGACTTGTCACGTTTTGAATGGGCCTGCTCATGACGTCACATGACATTGGGTTGCATCACAGATAGCTGGCGTCATCGATTAAGTTGGAAGTACGAAATCGTCATAGCAACGATGTAATGCGCTGCTTGAAATTCAGGTCACTGTTAAACAACGCCCCCTATGTAGCCCATCTGAAGTTTTATTAACATATATATGTAAATAGAGAGATAAAATAGTTACCGTTGAAATATTCAGTTAGGTGTCTTCTTTACCCTACAAAGAACTCGGAGAGAATATTCTTTTCCAAAATGGCTTCCGTAAGTATTCAAGGTTCTTAACTCTGTTACTTGTGAGTGAGTACCTTGCTCTCCCCCTTATTTTTGAATTACAAAATTTTATGATACTTTAAAAAACGAATCAGTTTTATTTTTTCAAATGGGTAATATTATTTGATATTTATTTTCATTATAGTTTAGCCTGACTGTTTTTCTTAATCATAAAACTAAGAAATTTATTTAAAATTCCTAAACTTAAAAGAAAATGACCAAGAAAGAATTGGATAATGATTGAACATTAGTTGCAAAGTGGTTTTATGATTTACTAATTACTTCTAAAAGAGAATTCTTTTTTCAGTTACCTTTCAAACCAAGCTGTTATATTTCGATTAAGAGAATTACAAATTTATTTAAAAATTTTTAGACTGGTTTACACATTTATATAAAACATTATGCTAAAAATATCCTTATTGTAAGTAAATTTGTTATTATAATAATTTTTCGGTATCTGAAACAATAAATTACCTATTCATTGGAAAATTTTCTACCAGACCGTGAACTTTAAATTTGATTTCAAAACTGTATAGCAATTTATCTTCACTTTTATACACTGTGACAATAAATTAACAAATTAATCATTCTGCAGCGAACATACAGCTGCTTGTTTGGATTTTTACAGACAAAAAATATATACATGGGTATTTGTACTGTGATGTATTTAGATCACCTGTTGAGCTTCATATTTTCGATGATTTGAAGAAATTATAAAACTTAAATTACGCACAATAAATACTTTCTAAACTAAGAAGTTAGTTTCTCAAGCCACAACTTAGTTATCTTGTGGTTTGAGCAATTCTTCCATTATTTCGTTAGAACGGTTCACATAGAACTTCTAAAATTTTAGTGGTTGTTCAAAAAACTGAAGGAATAAATTAAATAGTAAGTTATAGCTTCTATTGAGTAATCAGTATTTTCATTCTTTGGCTGCAGAACCATCTATGAGTGTTTACAACTATTAGATTTTTTTATTCTTTTTATTTTGTCGGGGGGGGGAGAGGAAAGAAAAACCAGCTTCAATGGTTGGTTTCAACGCGTAAATATTTTGGGCGTTAAAGCTAGAATTATGATTAATTAGATAACTAAAGTTCTTAACAGCATAACCAATACTACATATAATGCTTATACATTTCAAATACCTATAAACCTTTTCCTATTTTTTAACATGTCGGATCGGTGTAATTATTTTCACTTACCGGTTTTTTGTTCGCTACAAATAAAGTTGTAGCGGACAGATTAGTGATCAAGGATAAAAATCTCTCACCTAGTTTCCGTTTTTATAAAAGTGGGTAACTTCTTAACGTAAAAAAGTCTGTATTTTGGTGCCATTAGTGTGTAAGCAACCATCACCACCTCAGTTTGGCTGGAGCTTGTCCAGTCGCGCTGGGTAGAAAATAATTATCACCTTTCTGTCACGGGTTGTCATTGTTAGCGTGTCCGACTGGCAGTCAGAAGGTTTAAATGTTGAATACCAACGACAACTTAGCTGATTGTTCAGATTTCTTAGTTTCAAAAGTTATAAATGGTTCTATAGTGGCGCTGGACTAAAATGTGGTGGACAGTGCACCAGGGAGATAGGCACCCAGACCTAGGCTGTGAAAGCAGACACGATTTAATACCAAAACTACGGAAGAGGTCGAAACCCCAAAGACAATCTTCAGGATTATCGAATATGTAACGATTACACAGGCCGATACTAACTTGCCAGTGTTCTTACAGTTCCTGTCGATCCTGGACAGACCACCGAACAAAACGGTGGTTACAGTCCTGTGAAGGCAGATAATCTCGCCCATACTGTCCGCTCCTAATATATAGACAGAGCGAGTGACCAACTTGGGGTTCCGGCCGATTAGCCGCGTAAGCAGGACAGCAAATTCACGCGTTGCTGCCCATCCCCCCACGTCGAGAGAGAGCCCGCGGAGAAGAATGTGGAGGACAATAAATTCATCACTACTTGTGTTTAGTAACTGGTATCCTCCTTTCCTAGTTGCCCATTAGAGTGGGGGAGAATATAACGAATTTTCACCTTTCCCATTGAGTGCTCTCCGGATGTAAGTGGACCAATTCCGGGCTGGCAGTCCGAACGTCCGGAATTAAAAGCGCAGTCATGATGAGCTTGTAGCTAACTTTTCATGTTTCCTGCTCTGAAAAGCGTAATAGACAAGTATAATAAATAAAACGTCATACAATCGAATATTGTTTCGAACGCCCTATAATTTCTCGGTTGCATAGCTCTGGTTATTGCGTACAGTATCGCCAGTTGTCAAAGTGCGAAGGTTTTCTTTATTTGTTGCTTAAAATAATTAACCTAAGAGATCAATTTCTTGTATATTTAAAACTTTTATCGTAGTCGAAATGACCTGATGACGGTAATATTTTTTCTTTTCCGATGTTTCAAGTCAGCGCATGTATCTTGTTATAGGAAATTGTTTGCAGTGTGCTATCCAATATTTTTTTTTTTTTTAAAGACAATCGTATTGGTGAAATTCCCTATAAAAGCTGAGATTCTTTGCGTATATTTCTTTCCATAATTAACTCGAGTAACATGTTAAACAGTAATGCGCCTTTTAATATTATTTTAATGTGAGTGTGAATGCACGATAGTAAAATCTGGGAATTAAACTGTGTTTTTCGAGCTTTTAATAATTCCAGTATACATAGAAGATGATATATGTATACTTTAAATTAGAAATATTTGGAAGTCATGTTTGATTTCGTTATAAGGTTTTCTCTGTGTGGGAGGTGGGTCGGCCATTTTCCAGAGTAGGTGGAGAATTTAAGAAACAGTTTCAGCTCTTCGACTGTGTAATAATATAAAAATTATTATTATTATTATTATTATTATTATTTTTTTTTTTTTTTTTGTGTTTGTGTCTGTGTGTGTGTTGTGTGTGTGCGCGCGCTCACTTTTTGTTTTAGTTGTATTTAAATATTTCAAACATCTCTAAATGCTTATTCAAAGAAATTCTGTGTCGAAAGCTTTAAAAATTAACTTGAATGTGCAGATTTAGTTAAAAATATTTTTATAGTTAGTCTAATTGATGGCTGATGGCGTAGTTGGATGCATTTATTTCCAAAAATTGAATAAAAAAAGGAAAGTTGATTAAACTGTTTCTTTGATCCGATATATTGGAACAAATTCATTCCTAAATAAATATTACCATTCAATTTTAATGAACATTTCGCCAAATTAAAAATATTTAAGGAAGCGGCTGTGGCGAACTGGTGCAAATCGGATGATTCCCACGAATAATGCCTACAGAGGTGGAGCTTTTATCAAAAAATGTGTCAAATTTTAGGTGTTCATTCATCAGAATGGGAAATCAGAGAAAAATCATTATAACTGAATCAAGAAATGAAAGTAAATAATAATTATTATTATTATTAATAGGACATGCAGCATAATAATAATAATTAATTATTATTATTATGCTGCATGTCCTATTAGGGAAAGGGCAATAAGAATTCATCCACAGTTATATAAATGGAACATTTGGTTAACTATTTTTTCTGATCAGATATCATCGCTACTACAGGAGGGCGGTAAATATAAACGAATATAAATTTATAATCAGGGAAATAAAGAAATGTATTTTTTATTTCTTGAAATGTAAATGTATCTTTAAAGACTGCGTTCTTAAATTTATTTTTCATTAAACGCAGATTTCAAATTGGGCTTTAATTAAAAACTTTTAAACAAAAAAAAATTCCCATTGTTCATTGCTTTTTTATTAGTTCGAGATGGAGTGAGGGATTTGGAAAACTTTCAGAACTAGTATTTGAAAAAAAAATCATGATTCATCCCTTTTCATCTAACATTTAAACTAAAAACATTAGGGATAGAAATTAATGATTATTTATGTGTTTCGGGTACGAGACAGCTTTCCTTGGAAAATGCTCTGGGAAGACATCCCTTCCTCTAGGCAAATAGCTCTCGCATATTTTTCCATAATTAAGCTAACCAAAAAATTTTTTCAGTTATAATTTTGTCTTGCTAAGTATACGATTAGCATCCTACACATTTTAATACATTTTTAACTGGAAAAGAATCATACTTGAAATGAACAATAAGAAACTTTATGTGATAATTATTTACTATACGCGTCATATACTTGCGTGCAGGCAAGTCACAAACATCAATAGATTATGTGGAAAGGGACTGACGAAACTAACAAGATTTAATGCTAAGATTCGTAAGACACTTAAGAAAATGCATACAATAAGTCATGAAAATGTTAGCAATACCTTTATCCAATAAGCATTCTTTTGTATTTACTGAATACACGTGACTTGGAATTTCCGAAAACCTTATCATTCATGCATTACTCATGGACGGGAGCGTTGCATTTACAGTACTTAAGTTGCTCGTAGAACAGAAGGCAGTGAATGAGTAATATGATATTAATTTTAAGCACTGTTTTCGAAAATAATGATCAATAAATTTTCAAGTTTAATGATATTCCCAAGTCTGTATTCAGTCTATTTCATTTATCTGACGTGCTACGAGAGAGGAACTCACTGGAACTGTTTTAGATAATTAAAAGTGAGTTATAATTACATATAACATTAGCAATAAATATTACTGGTGAATTATAATTTCCTATGTGGTTTCGAAGTTTATGCACATCCAAAGGGTGCTTAAAAAACGAAGTTTCGTAGACAGCTTACTTGACATATTCATCCCTTGGTGACTCGGCAGACATCAGTTATGAAGCTGTAGCCACGTACGTCCCACCAAGTTAAGATCGGTACCGGCGATTGCATACTTGATCCCTAACCGCAATCACATTAAATCACGTAGCAAGGAAGACAGGAAACACGACCTTTGATGTAATGAACATGAGAAAAAAAATCGCATGGGATTACGCCAGGTTAACTTAAAGGCCACGAAAGTACAAGTAAATTGTCTCCAGGAGCACGTCCTATCCAACGACCAGGAAGTTCCGCATTGAGCTAAGAGTAGATACCCTCATTAAAATGTTAGA